TTATTTAACACACCCATGAAAGAAGTTTTGTCCTGTTTGCTGAAGATTGACTTGCTATCATTCTGCACGGGCCCACCACCAGGAGGCTATTTGTTGCTCCACCATCATTTTCTGTGTCTAGACAGTCTAGACCTTCTGACTGAGGGCTTTTGGAGGCTGCAGCCTTCAAGCAGAGCTTCCTCGTTCCCAACAAGCCTCCAATTGCTGGCATTTATCCATTTATGTCTAATGCTCGTAGTGGTAGAAAATAAGGTTAACTGAGCAGAGGAAAATCTGGAAATAGAATCTGGGATTGAATATAAATGTAACATAAATGGGCTCTTTTTGAAATATGCCATAAATTATGAGTCATCATGAGGGGAATAGGTGGAAAACCAGCAGTGTGTGAGAGGCTACCACCCTTTGACCACCATAGTGTTCAGCTTGTGTTAAGCATCTGATTTGGTGTTAGTTGATGCCACTGGATCCTCCCTGTTTAGTTCAGTGAAAGATAGTGTAGATATTCAGTTTACAACAAGTTCTCGCTCTTCTCTTAATATTGTCCCTCTTTATCCACAAGCATTTGACATACACATGGATTTAAGGTCTGATTTTTCTTTTTTTCAGTTCTTTTTTTTAAAAGGGATATTGAGTATTTGAGCGCTACTCAGCAGCTCAAAGAATTGGACTTGAAATAACTAAACTTTTCATTGAAGAAAATGCCACGTGCTTTAGGAAATGGTAAACATTGTATGTGGAGGAAAGACAGGTAAGAGAGTTCAGTTAGCTTCATTCATCATCTTTTAATCGGGAAGCTTGACTTACCTACCTGAAGGCAGATACAGTATTTGTTTTGCTTAGCCTTAAGAACTTTGGCAGCAAGCCAAAGGATCGATCCTTTTATCTCCTACTTAAAAATGCCTTAAAGCCATAAATATTCAATATAGTAATAACTTTTATGTTGGGCCTGCTATAGATCTGTGTTTTTTAAAAAATGAAAAAAGCAGGGTAGCTGGTAACACTTCTAAGATGCATTTGTTGGTGGGTTTGTGACTGCCTGGTTACTGTCAGCTGCTCTGAGCAATGCTCGTGTCAGATAGGCTGGCACGTTTCTCCCAGTGTCTTCCATTTTGAAATTCAGATGCTGTTTTGCAACAAGCTGCCTATAGCAAACGTAGTTTGTGATTCTTTTTTATATATTCTGCAGCTGCTTGTTGAAGTCAAGTGTATGACTGGATTTTTGCCTCCCTTTCTCTCTCTCTTTTCTTTTTTTAGCTATGAAATATGTTGCATGAGGCCCTGTTTCTTACAAATAGGTTCTTTAACGCTGGTGAACAAAAGTTTATTTATTTGCCTTCCTTCTGGAAGAAGGCTTTGTTGTGTGCTGAAAACAAAAGCTGATCAGATATAGATCTCTTCTAATCTGTGTTGATGATAAATAGCCTTGAAGCCCTTTCCTCTAGAATTTCCATTCGTAATTTACTTTTGTGAATATTGAAATAGTTGATGCTTTTGCTCCCATTTTCTTCAAGTGTGTGAAAACTTTTTTCTACAGAAAGCAAAGTTATTTCTTAGATTTGGTTGGTGATAAACATGAATCAGGTGCATTAGACAGGAAACTTGAACTGTGTTGTTCTCCTGCTTCTCACTTGGTGCTCTTCATGTCCTGTGTGTGAGGGCACAAGTCCCTTTCTCTCTCTCTTTTCTTTTTTTAGCTATGAAATATGTTGCATGAGGCCCTGTTTCTTACAAATAGGTTCTTTAACGCTGGTGAACAAAAGTTTATTTATTTGCCTTCCTTCTGGAAGAAGGCTTTGTTGTGTGCTGAAAACAAAAGCTGATCAGATATAGATCTCTTCTAATCTGTGTTGATGATAAATAGCCTTGAAGCCCTTTCCTCTAGAATTTCCATTCGTAATTTACTTTTGTGAATATTGAAATAGTTGATGCTTTTGCTCCCATTTTCTTCAAGTGTGTGAAAACTTGTTTATTCTACAGAAAGCAAAGTTATTTCTCAGATTTGGTTGGTGATAAACATGAATCAGGTGCATTAGACAGGAAACTTGAACTGTGTTGTTCTCCTGCTTCTCACTTGGTCCTCTGCATGTCCTGTGTGTGAGGGCACAAGAGGTGGAGGCCACAAACTTCCTTCCCTTCCCTGACAATGGACAGAACCTGACAACTGTCTTCTTCACCCTAGCTTCAAGTACACTTCAAATAACCACAGACATCAACTCCTTGAAGCTTTGTATCCTCAAACCATGTCTTATCCTGTTTTATCCTTTGCTAGATCCCATGGAAGATCTCTTAAATGTAGACAAAGCTCCTCAGACTTACTGGCTCTGAGGTGTGCTGGGCTGTGCAGCCTGAGGTACAATGAGCCATCCTTTTAAGAAGAAAAATCTATGGTCTTTTTCTTTCAGGGAATTGCTCCTGCCTAACAAGTGTCTACTACTTCCATCTTTTGAAATAACCTATGAAAGTCTTAGATTTTGTCTCTGACAAGAACTTTTTAACAACAGGTACCAAAGTACCGTTGATTCGTTTCAGGAGCTTTTTGTCTGCCTGAGCTGGAGGTTGAGGTTACAAGTTGAGGTGCCAACAAGTGCAGCGGCAGTTGAGAAGACATCACATTCTATGAAGCGGGAAGCTGACTTGCTCCGTCCTGTAGGGAATGACATATCCTGGTGCACAGCAACCTGATACCTTCGCTCTGCCTTCCCTGTGCTGCTTTTCTGTCCCTCTGTGGGCAGCCTTTTGTCAGCAGGGCTTGCTCACGGCAGCGATGTCATTGCTGAGTTGAGGATGTGCGGGGAGCGTTGGGTGAAGAGGTGTCCCTCCCAGTGCTGTCTACACTTGCCTCAAATGCAGGAAAACAAAGAACTGGCTGTCTCAGATCCAGGACAAGAACGGTCTTGGCTCGCGCCCAAACTGAAAACTGGTCCATGGCTGGTTTGCATGTCCTGTAAATGGCAAGAAGTCAGAGCTTCCTTTAAACTCCTTAGGTAAAACTCACTGACAGCTATGCCAACATGTCTGGAGCTGTAAGGTGCTGTGACAGCACGTAGGAGTATTAATACTGTTTGGTGGACTTCATTTCTGTCCTTTACTGCTCTGTTTGAAATGCAGTACTGATTTGTCCAGACCGCATGTGGACAGAAGGGTGATGGTCCTACCTTGTGCGTGAGACTCAATCCAGTGGCTGGGCTCTCCCGTCTCTCTTCCCTCCTGGACCATGATTCCTGTCACGTGTGCTTCAGAAACGAAGCAGCAGCTCCACCGGTTTCAGAGGCAAAGGATACGGTCTTAAAATGATTTTTAAATAAGTTGACATTTACCTGCTGTGAGGCTTCCCACCTAAGTGGTGTGGCATTCCCACGTGATCAGCAGCACTCCACAGTGCAAATACTGATAGAAGTCAGAACAGGTATTACAAAGCAGACTTTTACTCCCTTTGTTTCCATTAAATGTTAATAAATAGGAGTATCCGTTTCCTGGAATGAGAGAGCCTGGTATTACACTTGTGTTCTTGGCAAAAATTTCCTGTACTAAATTTCCTTTCTGGCCATAATGTGTGGTCCAGCAGAACCCAGGCCTTTCCTTTTAGATGGTCTCTATCAGCCCAGTTCTTTTTAAGAGCATGGGATCGCCCTCATATATACCACAAATACTTCGCTGCTAGAAACCCTGTGTTTCACAGATGAGTAATAGTTGGAGAATGACGCATTTTCATGTTTAGGAGATGGTTTCAGACACTTCTAATTGTGATTTCATAGCTCTTGGCCAGCAAAATCTGCCTAGGGTGAAATAAGAGATGGCAGATGGGGAGAATGCTATCAGATGTCTGAGAAATGTATTTCTATAAAGGCAGAGGTCAGAAATAAGAAAAGGGCAGTCATGGTAAGTAAGATGTGGTGTTCCTGTGTTAGCTTAAAACATGGTCTAGTTCTGTTATTCTTTGAACAGCAGAAGTGTGAAACAAGCACTCCAGGTCTTGTCCTGTCCTCTCCTTGCTGTGCATGGTCACTCCTGGCCTTTCTCCTTCCATCTGCTCTTCTGACTCCTGTTCCTCCCCTGATGTACCTGGTGGCCAAGCAGTGGTATGCTCGGTATGGAGCGTGCAACTCAATACCTCTACCAGCACGAACATCCAGTGTACAAATGAGCCTCATCCACCACTAGACACAGAAGTGTGATCGTTTTGTTGCAAGTCTTGAACGAATGTGAACATCATTATTTGTTTGTTTGTTTGTTTGTTTACTTTTCACCCCTTCTTTTTTTGATGTGGGTCGCATGTATTGCTGGAGGGCATGCCGTGTATGAAGAGATTATTTAAATTTCTCAAATTGGGATTATTTTCAGGAAAATAAGCTTCTTAAAAATAGCTTCTTAAAATAAGCTATTTCAGATTGGGATTTTACTGTGGACATTGTGTGGTTCTTTCAACAGTACAGAATGCTTGTTTCAGACTGATTGTCATTGAAGTGGCCCAATGATGTGTCTTGTCAGGGCTGGATCCAGCTGTGGCTTGGCCTGATGGACGCACAGCTGTTTTGCTGCCCCGCGACTGCCTGGTTGCACGCGTGCCCTTCGGTCTGCAGAGGGGAGGAAATGGGACTTTATTTCCCTAAGGCCCCTGCTCCTCTTGTTATTTCTGTCCCGGTGTGTTGCTAGTGGCTACCAAAGAAAATGCCTAGTAGAAAACTGGAAATGTAATACATTTTAAAGCTCTTTGTAGAGAAACCGTTTCAAGAGGTTTAGACCAGGATAAACCTTCATATATTTTGTAGGTTAAACTGATATACTAATTGATAATCTTCTCCTCAGAGAACTTGCTTTCAGTCAGTCTTAAAATGTAATCAGTGCCACCTCTAAGTAGTGCTCTCACTTTTTAGCAAGTTCTGTGGTAGTGGTTGTTATGCTTCCAGCAGTGCAACGTAATGTCATCTGTGTGATGCTCCTGAGCAGGTAAAGCTGCTTTTATGATTTTTAGTCATTCTTGAATTTTATTTCAGGACATAACTTGGCAAGATGAACACTCGGCTCCATTCTCCTGGGAAACGAAGGTAAATATGCAGCAATTTTATTTTTAATATTGGTTTGTCATTTTGTACTGTTCCTTGTGCATTTATATTGTCTTCATTTTGAGACTTCATAGAGTAATGTCACCTTTATTCTATGAGAGCTGTGTAAAGTGACCGTCCTGCAAATGAAACAGGACTGGTGTGCTTCGATTTACATCAACAGAAACACAAAATGTACTTCATGAACTAACGTTCTGGCTTCAAGTGCAGGTGTAAAACTGATTCATTAGAAATTACTTGATTTTTCATTGTAAACTTCTAAAACAACTTTCCATGTCTAGCAAGACCAGTGTCTCAGATATTATATGAACATAACTGCATTTCACTTTTGAAGTCAGCAATAAAGTAGCTGGGGAATGGGGTGAGAAAGTTACGCATATCTAGTAACTTCATTGGATTCTTTCTTAAAGCCTGTCTTACGTTTCATCTTCTTGTTATGTACTCGAATGTAATGAAACTTGTTAACCTGGGGCTATGCTAGAAGCATTGTGTTATTTCCTCTCCAAAAGGCAGCTCCTCCAAAAAATAATGTATTTTTCTGTGGTGGGTTGCTTTTGGTTTCCTCCCCCTTGCTTTACCTCTGGTATTTTGTTAAAGCATTATTTATGATGGGATTCTCATAAGGCTAACACAGAGACAGAGTTCTCCATCTTTCTGGACCTGCAGTGTGAGGAAATATAGTTATGCCATATTTGTGGTGGGAAATGAAGTTTAATTCTTCTTGTTGAAGAAAATCTTGGAGCAAAAACATAGCTCATTGCCTTTCTCAACTGGGTATGTGGGCATATGAATTTAATCACACATTTCAGACTGTGTTTTCTGGCTTTATCTGCCAGAGAAAGCTGCTTCTCTCCTGTCTCTTCCATTTTTTGCCCTTGAACCATGTAGATAATCATGTATGAGCTTATGAATATAATCTTAGCGTAATGCAGAGTAATTCTTTGGAAATGCCAGTGAATACTAAATTAATCTGATTGACCCTAGACTTGTTGTCAGCCTTCCCTGCTCAAGGTCACTGCCTGTAGCTAGCACACCATCTGTGCTTTTCAGATGCTGATTAACCTATAACTTGATGTGACTCCTGGGTCCCTGCAGCCTACAGTGCTGCAATGTAAGAGAAACCATTGCCAGTCTTCACTTGCCTTAAAACTCCTTTACAAGTTGTGGTGGTTCAGGAGCCAGTGGAGGATTTGCTGCAGTGGAAGCCTGGTAGCTCAGGCAAGCCCTCCTGGGACTTCTAAGGACCCTTAGAAGAAGCTGTCAAGAAAAGAAAAGTAGTGAGAAGAGTGTGGACCTCATTGACAATGAGGTGAAATAAATCATATGTTGGAGACAGCAGTGTTCTCTCCCCTACTTTTTGCGTGCAAACCCTAAAGCTCAGTTTTGGGAATGTGGGAACTGTAATCTTATTTCTAAGCTCTGTCTTGATAGGGTTTTGTAAGTTCTGAATACTTGAACTTCCTGGAGATAGTATTCCATGTAATGCACTGACTAGATGCATCTGCACTCAAATGGATTTTCTCTTTAATTGATAGTTGTCTTTTCTTTTAAATGCTGTATGTCTAGTGAAGTGTTTCTCAACCCAGCCTGTGGTTTATCCCTTGCTGATTAAGATAATTTTCACTACCCTCCTGGTGTCTCAAAATGAGGGACTGCAATGGATAGATGCTCTAGTTTCGTACTTTTCTGTAATGAATGGAGGATCATGAAATGATACGGGAACACGCACGTGACCGCTGAAGAAAAGTGAGGTGGGGAGGAGGTTGCTTTAGAAAGAATTGTCTCAGCTAATCAGGTTGTGCTTCCCTCTTTCCCCCACTCCCTCCTTCCTGACTAGAGATAAAAGCTGTGCCTCAGCTGTAGGTTGAAAAGTTGCATGATCTTTTCCTTTGTCAAACCTCCAAAGAATCCAGTTTGCTCGGCTTTACATGGTGTGGGTTGGTTGGTTTGTGTGGGTTCTTCGATTTCGTTTTTCCCCAGTGCCTCATATTGTGTCAGTCTTTCAACCAAATCCTTCAGCTGCTGAGTCTTCCATTTCTAAAGGTGGAGATCTTGCTTTGTGCTTACTCTTTGATCTCTTCCCTAACCAGTACTTTAATAAGATAATATTGGAAGGCAATTTCTCCATGAGGTACCGGTTGAGGAAAAAGTATCCTTGCCCAATCAATCCCGTGTGGGGAAACAGTGAAGAAACCTGAATGAGCTGTTTAATGAGGTTGACATGTTGTAATGCACATTCAGTGTCTTGTGAGCCAAATCTGTTCCCACTATTATTTCAAGCTGTCAGGCTTTTTCCATTCCATGAGCTCTACCCCATGATGGATTATTCTTTCCGTAATATTCTTTTCTCTGATATCCCTTTAATGCAGAGTTTTTCGTTTGGTTTGGGTTTTTTGCATGTTATTGCCATGATGATTAAATTCCTTCATTCTTTTGCAGCTTTGCATGAATGTGCTCTGGCTTACCCAAGGAAGGGAATGTGATGTTCACTTTCTGCTTTTGCAGAGAAGGAGAAAGTAGAGATCTAAATCAGTAAAACCAATAGGCTAGGCTTTCTTTTTTTTCTTAAAACATTGAGACTAAGGAAAATAAAGCAGCAAAATCAGTATCTGTCTATAACTAACTACAGGAAAACTGAGAGGGTGGTGAGAAGAGTAGAGAAGAGGGAAGGGCATGTTTTCTGCAAGTTGGAGCCTCTCTCAGCTGTTACAGTGATGTCAATGGTGATTCCAGTTGGTTAGGTATGGACAAATTTTTCTCACCGTAGCTAGTGCAATGGATTCCCTAATTCCATGGCTGTCAAACTTACCCAGAGAACAGTGGACTAAATTGCTGTCATTTTGGGCAGAACGTTGTTGAAGGGCTTGATAACTTAACTTCTGTGAAAGTAAACTTTCTGTGTTCCTGTTTTAAACACAAATGCGAGATATGGCTTAAGTCATTTGTATCACAGCAAACACTTGCATGAGTACCTGCACCATTTTTAGCTGTTTGATGTGTATTTAAAGTTCTTGTCTTACCTCTTTATTTTTAAACCGTCAAACAAAGCAAACAAAGCAGAAATACAATGTAAATTCCCGAGTTAGATGTGAGGCAGCACTTAAAATACTAACATTTTTTGTAGAAAACTGTAGCACTTCCCCGAAGGAAGACTACTTGGGAAGCAACAAGTTCTCATGGCACTGCAAATAAGCTGTCATTTTAAAACTAGAGATTGAATTGGAGGGAGTGATTTGGTTCATGGGTGGAGCCCTCATGAACATAACACATCTTGAAATGTGGGTTACGTTTTTAACTGGAGCTAAAGCCAGGTTTATGAATTTAGGGCATTCTATTTATGGCTTCAGGTTTAAGTGAGATGAAAGCTGACATTTTGGCTGAGTTTAGCCTTTGAGGTTTCTTGGTTTGTTTGAAGTAAAAATTCAGTGAAACTCAGCACAGACCAGAATCATGCCTGGTTTCGGAAATCAAATTTCTTTGCAACTCTTCGTGAACTCAGAACTTTCTGGTTTCGGTGTGGTTTGGTTTTTTTTTTCTTAAATAATTTAGTAGCAGGCAGAAACTATAATTTAGTCTGCCACCTCAGCTAACACATTGAATGCACAGAGCAGCATAGGAATAAGTTGGAACCTATTTCAGTTAATGCTGTTAGCTTAAATAGGTTTTATTCCAAATGCTTAAAATTGACACATGCACATCTAAAAATTTGTTGGTCTTGATACAGGTAGAATAGTTGCGAGGATAGCTTTAGAGAGTTCTTTTTGTATTATTTTTCTTTTTAACTCCTGGCTTTTTCCTCCTTCAGCTCTCTTCGACTTCTAACAGGCCCTCAGATAGATATTTGATGGAAAAGGGAAGCCTTCAAAGTGTGTTTAAAAACAAACAAACAAACAAAAAAAGCTAAAAGAGAAAGTGTCAGGCTTCAATTTCTTCCATAATCTGGTTGCTGCCTTCCTGTCTGAATTCCCTAATTATATTGCTACAGAAGTGATCTAATCCCAGTGATGATTTAGAAAGAAAAAAATCATGTTGCACTTATAAAAAACATGGTTTGCAAACTGTTTCCTTTATCTAAAACTAAAAGACGGTCTTCAATAGCCTTCTTTGTACAAGTCCTAATTGGTTTTGTGTGGTTTTTCGTTTGGTTGTTTTTTTTTTTTTCAAATAGGAAGGAAGTGGCAGAAAAGATTTTTTTTTTTCCCATCCTTCCTTAGCAACCTGATATTAGAATTGTTTGTTACAAACTATACTTTGGTGTGATTATTTTTATCAAGCTGGCATAAATGGCAATGCTTCCTTGGAAAGAAAGAAGAGTGATGCCTGAGGTTTTGGGTTTTCCCTTCCCTTTTTCATCCAGACTACAGATGTTTAAAACACAGTGCTATAAGACTACTGTTGACTATTAGTTCTTGAGCAAAAAAAAACCCCAACTTTTGGTAATAGTAGCTGTGTTCAAGGTTTATTTTAATCTGCATGGCCAGATGTTCTCAGCTAAGGATTCAATTACCTCTATCAATCTTTAGACAGTTGTTTCTGAGCATAAAACCATGCACATACCAGATACTGTCATTATGAGTTTGCTCAGGCTAACCAGTAACAGTGGCAGACTAGAATGCTGTTCATATCACCAAAGAGTAGATCATGAAATTTCCTCCGAAGCTCCACACTATCTATCTTTGGTGTTGTCTTTCCGTGTGGACTAAAATTACTTAGATTGTTTTTGAGTGCTTTGCTCTATTTTTGCTCCTGCAGTTGGTGTCTGCTGACCTAAGGATTTCTTTCTGACTCTGAAAAGATGCTGAAAACACCCACGGTGGGCATAGGAAACAAAGCAAAAACTGCAGCTACTTTGAGTCCCATATTTATTTTGGTTTTGTCCCTTCAGCAAAGCAAAGTCATCTTCTAAATCATTTTAAACTTGGCTTTCTTACCTCTGCATATATCAGGCTGTGCTTAAAGCAAGTTGTTTTTGACAGTGTTTCTGCAGTCTTTGTCTCAACAATTTGGATTTTTCAGGCTGCCAAGCAAAACAATTTGTTTTGGCTGTGTTTGCTTGACTGTTTAGTAAAATACTACACATTCCTGATGAGTGAATAAGATGCTTAAAAAAAAAAGCTCCTGGGTTCTTTGTGGTCATCTTGTTTTTAATATAGACTTATGGACTGAGACCTGATTTTATACAGTATTATTAAATCATTGTGTTCTTAGTATGTGGGGCCTCTCTTTTAGAATGCATTGTTTCCCATGAGTATATACAGCCAGTGTTAACGATTTGGTGGATTATCCCTGCCTTGAGACAGAAGTTAGGTCTAAATTTTTTAATCCAATAAAGAAAATTCCTAAATCCCTTAACATGGTCTTTTCAAGGAAAGATGGACATGCAGCTTCCTTAAATCTGCAATTTTAAATATTATTTATATTTATTAGACAGAGAGATGATTCAAGACCTAGGCATCCTTTATTTTAACCCCTGCAGTGGTTTGGGACCAGAGGGATAAAACTGAAAAGAAGACAGACTTCTAGGTTTGCTTTGCTTCAAAATACTACTTTGTGCTTGCTTTCACATGCACTCTCTCTCTCCCTCTCTCTCTTAATGTGTTGAGAATAACTTGCTCTTGCAGTATCTTGAAAATACTACTGCTGTTAATAGCTTTTATTTGAATTCTGATAACTTCTAGGAATTGCATTTGGGACTGTACTAGCCTGTCTGTAAACTCTTGAGACTTTCTGGGCTGAACAGTTCCCAGAAATACAGTTTGGACAAATGGTAGGAAAAAGAAAGTATTTAATAAAGTACAGAAGCTGCAGCTCATTCAAAGTCATACAAAATCTATGAAAGCAGCTGGGGACTGAAACCCTGTCTCTAGAATCCCAAGCTGTGCCTAAATGACAATTCACTTGTGACCATCAAATCTTACCGCAGCGCTCAGTGTTTGCTTCCCCAAGGCGGCAGCTGGTAGAACGCCCCAAGTGCGGTTCTGCTGCTAAATGCTCAAGTGCACAACTGCAGCTCACAGCAGCTCTGCTTCAGCCCAAGGAAAGCAAACAAGTGGTACGGCCCTTTGTGGACTAGCTGCCACCATAAGTTTGATTGGGGCCAGAAGAGATGTGCATCAAGATATTCTCATGGCTGGCAAACCTAAAGGAAAAGGAAATGTTTTTTGGGGGGTAAACTGTCTTTTAAATGTCGTTTCCTTCCCTCTCCTGCTGACCCAGTCAATTGCCAATTTGCAATCTGATGTAAGAAATTGAGAGCAGAACACTAATTAAACTCACATTTCTGGTGTCTAGTGACTCATTAGAACGTACAGTACTACTCATGACTTAAATGTCAGCATGGGGTGTTTCACACATGGGTCTTCTCCATCTCCACATGAAATTATTTCCCTACTTATACTGCTGCTCTGTTGGGTTTTTTTTGGGGGGGAGGGTGTTTATAGTATTTTATTGCCAATTTTGTGACTTGAAAGATACTGCATATTAATCATTTTCTTTCATCAGCTACGTTTCTTAGAGGTTCAGATGTCTTAAGTGACCTTGAAAGTCAAATAGAAGCATTATATATTTCAAGGAAAATAAAATAACTTGTGACTGGTCCACAGAAGTTCTTGGCTTCTCGAGCTAAATGCTAGAAGCAGGATTATACATCTGACCTCTCAGGGCTGTATTTACATCACGCTGAGATGTAGTGCTTTCGGAACCTCTTGGGGTAGTCTTGTCTTCTTCGCCTTCCTTGGGGGAGAAAGCAAACTCCTGAAGAGTATTTTCATTCAGAGTATTCCATGTCAGGTTATGAACTGCTTGATCTCCAAAGCATACTGTGACAGAAAAATGCAATCTTAAGTGTCAGGTGGTCCTGTCTTCTGAAATGGAACGGTAGACCCCACGGTCTCCATTCTAAAAGGACAAAAAGGGCATCCTCTCCAGAACATGCACCCACGAGCAGGTTGGAAAGGGTACAACTGCCTGAAGTTGTGCTGCAGTACCACGCTCTTCTCTACACTAGAAGTGGTCTGCCACTTCCAAACCAGACCTCTGAGTTGATATTTGAACCCATACGAAAGGACATAAAACGTGACTACAGGTAGTGGCTTCTGCTCCATGGCGGAAGAACTTCCCAGGAGGCCTGGATTTGCTTGTCTGTCTTGCTGCCATTGAAAGGCAAAGCCATCTTGTTGGTTTTCCTTTTTCTAATTTTTATTCTAACAGACCCCTGCTTCCCTTCCATCAGCGTTTTTCCTGGATTTTGTTTCCAACACTATTCTGGTGGATCTGGGGCTGTGATGGCCCCTCTGTCCTCTGGGCACTGACCTTCCCTCTCTCTTAGGCTGGGGGGTGAAAGAATCATTTTACTGACATTGACTGCTGTTGTGGTGGCCTTTAGCTACTGTTATCTCTAGTGTGAGTCCTGGGACAGGCTACTCAGAAGAAGGAAGACTGCTGAAGGATAGAAAGTAGCACTGTTTTAATTCCTACATGACAAGGTACTTAAGTCTTCCAAGACAGAAGTTTCACCACCCCCCACCTTTGGATACTGGGGAGGTGCAAGTCTATCTTATATTGTGTTGTGGGGTTTTTAAGCTGGGATTTTATCAGTTCTGAAGTCTTAAAGCATCTTGACTTCAGGGTGGTAAATCTCTATTCAGTAGTATTGCCAAATGAGCTTAAGGAAATAAATCCCTATATTTTAATATAGGGAATGGCAGTCACTGTAAATAACCCTCAACACCATTGCATCCATAGTTTGTTTATGCAGAAATTATCTAAGGAAAAATCTCCTGCTCTTAGCTTTACATCATGACTTTTGTTTAAAAAAAAAGTAAAAATTTGAGCACTAAGGTTTTTCCCCTTAGGTTTTGCAGGCAGGGTGGGGTGTTGAGCTGTTTGGTAAGAGCTGCACATATCCTTGCACTCACCTTATTCTAGCTGAGCTATAATTACTTACAGCTTGTTTATGTTCTGCATCTTTGGTAACACAGTATATTCTTAATGAAAACACGGAACTTGGTGCTTCCTTGCCTATAACCTTGGAAAAATATCTAATGTATATAATTCTTTAGAAAGATCAGATGTTAGTCCAGGAATCAAATTATGTGTAGTCAGCTGCTGACTGTTTAAAAAAAAAAGTTTTATAAATAATCAGTTGCTGAGTTAACATTTGCACTTTGATGAGAAGTTTCTGAATATGAAATACTAGGCGTGTAAGACCTGCTAGATCTAGAGTCCCTTTGAACTTAACATGCACAATAACATAGGACTTGAGATCAAACGTTTCTAGTGGAAATGATATGCAACTAGGACTTGTTTTAGACTCAGGTCCATAGATGCTGTTGCGGTTTTATTCAGTAAATGCCAGGTGATGAAATAGAATGGGGGAAACATCACAAATCTGTAATGAACTTCAAAAGCATCTGTTAGCCGCTTGTAGCAAAAGCTAGTATTTGAAATGCTCTTGGAATTTTTTCAAAATTAATCAGACCCATAATGACAACAGCGTAGCTCTAACGGTAAATGTAATTTTAATTTTTTTTTTTTTTTGCATTGTTTGTTCCATTTTACAAATAAAAGTCTAGACATTAGGTTGTTCTTTTCTGGCACTTGCTATGGTGCTGTGCTCCTATGCTTACATGTATGTCAGAGTGAAATAAGGCTTAACTTTTATTGGCCTAAAGAGTGTCCAGCTAGTTGACAATCAAGATCACTGAAGTGGTGGTAAGTAAAATGAACATTTTGAAGTACTGTTCGCTTTTGGGTGGCTTTTGCAAGGTCTGTATCATGCTTTAACTGTGCTCACTTGCTTTCTTGACCCAGTGTTACCTCTCAGAAATGAGTACAGCCATCTGCACTGCAAGTAGAAACAAAACAAGGCTCTGGAATAAGTGAAGAACTGTTCCTGCTGGAGTTGTTTCTCTTCCTTCAGAGGGGCATTAGAATTGTAAAAACCACTTATCTACGCATACCCATTACATCTAATCCCTTATCTTGGAAGTAGATGGAGTTGTAACATGTTGCCAACTGTTTCAAAGACTATAATGGAAGATTGCCTTTTAAACTACACTGTAAAGCTTTTTTGCTTTGTAATTTCATGTAAAACATCTATGGCTTTCAAAATGCATCCACAACTGTTCTAATGTTTTAGTGCTGCTGTTCTAATGTTTATGCTATGCACCGCTATCTTGGATGGCACTGAGTAACTCGAATATGATTGCTTTCTCTGACTCCTCTGTAGCAGGTCTGGGACTCTTATGTTTGCTTGCAGTTCAGACTTTAAAAAATTATTATTTTTTTGTAGCTACAAAGATAAACATTTATGGAGAAAATAAGTTAGCTTTGCTGTGGTATCTACTGCCTGGGAGTTGCCTAGCTGTGGACAAAGGTGTTATCTATATGCACCAAGATCAGAAGTTCAAAACTGTGTGTTTGAGAAGGGCTTTGAAATACTGTTTTTCTTTAACCCTGAACAGAGTCAGATGGAGTTCAGCGTTGCATCTCTGTCCATACAAGAACAAGGTGGTGCCCAGTCGCAAAATGAACAGAGGCAGCCCGTTAAAGCAGCACCTGGTGTCCAAGTCCCTAAATCTTCTCAGGCCAATAAGACCCCTGGCTCTGATGGGTTGATAGCAGCCAGAAAGGAAGAGGAGTCCTCTTTCTGGAAGATCAATGCAGAGCGCTCAAAGTTTGAAGGAGACAAGTCTGAGTTCCAGTCCCTGACCCCCAGCCAGATCAAGTCCATGGAGAAAGGAGAGAAACCCCTTCCCTCTTTTTACAGACAAGAGTCTACTCCAAAGGAGATGGTAAAAGCTGAGAAGCCCAGCATAACTAAACCAGAGAAGCCTGTTGCCCCCAGCCTACCTTCTGTATCTCTCGAATGGGAAAAACCTCGACCCGCTCAACTCCCTGCTAGTTCTCTAGATGACTTCTTTCTTCCTGACCCGCCACAGGACCTGGCATCTTCTAGGACAAACAAGGAAGATACTGATGGTACTGTACTTACAGATCCACAGATGCCTGGACAGGTAAGGACTGCTATATCCACTGTCCATAGATTTAAAAACTGTATAGCGCATTAAAATCTGACAAGGCCACTCTGGAAGATTAGGGACTCCGTAAAGCATTAAGCCATAGCTAAGCTTGCTGGCCTTTTGTCTGCAAATTCAAAGAAGTCTATTTAACCAACACATTAACTGCTATTGTTTGTTTCAATCAAGTATTTTTTAATGTAGTAAAGTGCATAGGATAAAGGCATCATGTAAATATAATACCAGAAACACTGACATGGCATCCAGTGGCTCATTGACAGCAAGCTACCTAACAGTTTGGGGTGAAGAGCTTGCTATATCAAGTAAGAGAGTTGTGGGGGGTTTTTTGGTTTTTTTTTTTTTGAAACAGCAAAACGCTTAATGGAAAAAAGAAGTTTTTCAACTTGAAAAGTAGATAAACTAGAGCCTAGAATACTTTATTGGTACACACAGCGTAGCAGTGAATGCCAAACTCGTTTCTCAGCTGTTTTAAGTGGTAGCCCAACAGCCACTTCCCAGTGCTTTGTCCCAGGCAGCTGGGCTGCTTTAAAATATGTTTTCTCTTGAAGTCCAAAATGGAAATGGAATGAGCTTCCAGAATTAGCCTTCTCAATGTTTGGTTTTTTTTAATAAAAAAACCCAAACAACCCAACAACAAAATATAACCTTAAGCAGCTCAGTAGCCAGGGGAAGCTATTTAAAAAGCAGATGCTGATCTGTGAGAAAAGAAAGGGAACAACACAATATGACATGGTGAGGGAAAGAAAAGGAAGAGATCTGAAGCCTGGAAACTGTGAAGTAGAGAAGAGGAGCGGTTCTTCAAACAGAGCTGTGCAGTTCCGTTTGGAATCTGGCACATCACTCTGGCATAAGCCTGACATATTCCTGTACACCTTAAGCATGTTGCATGGCTTTTTCTCTACCATGTTTTCCCAACAGTGATTGTTTAAATTCCAAACAAGATGATGTAAGGTCAGAAAGATGCAGAATGAGGTAAATACTTGCAAGAGAAGTAAGTGGCAGCACTTAGGAGAGAACAACACTTGAGTAACTCTTCAGTATTTGGAGCCCTGTGTTTAGTTATTTTTTTCTGAAGCTAAGACATAATGCTTCTTGAGCTGTTTTGCTACAAACTGTGACCACAGTAGTCCTTTAATTTTAGTTAAAGGCTTTATCATGGTTTCCTACAAATTAATGGTTTGTTACACTTCTAATTCCTTTGTGAATGTTTTCTAGCTAACTGAAATAGTTTGACAAGCCTGATTTTTTTTTTTTTTTTTCTCTGTGGAGAAACAATCCTCCCACGTCAAAATGTGAACAGAGTAGCAGAGAAGATAGTATGATAGAATTTTCTTCATTTCCTCTTTTCTGGATTATCTTCCCTGTTCTGGGGAAGAGAGCCGTGATCTAGGAAGACAATCTAGAGTCTCAACTGTGTCCCTTGAATAGTCTTCCTGAACATTGAAATCACCTTAAATGTCATGGCTAAAAGTGCAGCATTGCAGGAGTGAGCATGTTCTTGATAGCCTAGTAAATAACTTGTCAACAGAGTTTAAACTGTGTAGTTTCCTGGGAACAACTGGCTGTCATGTAACAGGCAAGCCATTGAATTAGCGATGCTTACATTCTGTGTTTATTTCATTCTCTGCAATTCCAACTGTAGTCTAAAAATTGATCTTTATGAATTTTTCTATGTCGAAGAAAATAACATTTTGCCTGCAGACCACTACAAGAATTTTATTTTTACCTGGAATTGCCTTTTTGGTCATTGTGAGTGTCTTTCCATGTCTAGCATTTTCTGGTGTAGGTTCTTAGGTATCTTAGAGCAAGGTGAAGAACTTGAAATATTGGCAGACAACATTTTAAACTTTCTTTTGTAGATCGGCAGTCAAGTACTGAGTTTGTAATACCCTAATTAACAACCACGTCTTATTTCTTTATTTTCCTTGCAGACTAGTACAAGCAATGTTATCTTGAAGACTGGCTTTGATTTTCTAGACAACTGGTAAAAGATACTTCAAAATAGATCAAACCAATTTTGGGGAAGGAGTGGAATGTCTTTCTCCTTGTATGTTAATTTACTAGCATTTGTGTCTTTTTCTAGAAGTAACTTTCAAACTCTTAAATGTTGCCTTTGTATAAACTTTTGTAATACCATATGCATTTTTGGTTTTTAAACAGTGATAGAAGTGTGGTTTCATTTGGATATTTTTTTAATATTTGTTAAAATTTTCAGTAGCTACTGTATTGAGAGGATGGGAGAAGTTACCATACACATGTTAAAGAAAAACAAATGAGAGCCTCCATTTCCTAGAAATGGAACCTACAGGACCAGATTGCTGTTTTCAGTCGAAACCCTGCTAGCATGGCTTGTAAGAAATAGCGTTGCACATGCAATGGTTCCAAATAAGCAAATAATTCCATACTTCAGATAACTTAGCAAAAACAGTATGAGAAATAAGAGTACAGAAGAATTGCATTGATTTCTATATTTCATTTAGTTTGAAAGTAACTTTTGTACCACTTATTTGAAAACACTTTTTTCTTTTGAAGAGGCCAAAGGCATTGCCAAAATGGTGGATCCAAAGAAGCACTGTGTTTGTACCCTACAAATCACTAAAATAACATAAAAGTGTTAGAAAAATGACCTGGGGAGATGACAGGTGTTTCTGGTCTTTGGATTAAGGACTTGGGGGTGAGTGGAGAGGAATGGGACAACACCTAATGAATGGGAGAAACTGTCTTCAGGGAACACAAGCCTAATGATTTCACTGCCTCCTTATAGAGCATAACTCCTCATAATAGTAGTGCTGGAAATACAGCACTGGGAATTGCTGGAGTGTAGATTACGTTTGTGTCAGGAAACCACTATGTTTATGGGAGGTCATAGCAGTATAAGGCTTCTTTGTTTTTTAAGCAGCTTATTGTCTCAAGGACTCATCAACTTTGGTGCTTTTTCCTCCTTGTGGGTACATTCTCTTCAGTGTTCAACATCTGGGTTACATTTGTTCGTGAGGTGCAGAGAGACATCTCGAGGTGGCCCTCAGCAGACTTGCCTCCAGTTCTGCTTTCGAATGACCTTTGTTTGGTGTTTAAACTGTAGAGAACAAGACTAGCTGTCGTTTGAATCTGTCGTCTCTGAAATGCAGCATGATTTACACACTGACTCTCACTGTGTTTACCTCACCTTGAAGCCTTAATTCCCCCTACGCACAGCCGGTGACTGGTCTGCTCCAATGCCAAAGGTTTGACCTTTCCCTTTACCTCAGCAATAGTCCCAGAGCATTTGTTTGGGGTAGAAGGCAAAACACGGGGCTCTAATGGGTCTAATGGGTCCCAGCCAAGGCTATAAGAAGGTCACCATCTCCTAGTCCATAATTGTGCTAGGCTTCTCATGGATTAGCACTTGACATTTGGTTCAGTGCCAGGGGCAGTTAAATGTGCAGGATTGGATGCTGCAGGATTTTCTTTTGCCTGTTACAAGAAGACTTGGAGATGTCCTGGAAGAATCCTTGCCTCTAATGGCTGTGCTGCTGGCTCTGAACAAGCAGAGGATGCTGACAGAGCATTAAAACCTACTTGTTGATCAAGGAAAATGCTGTAAGCTACCCACTCTCCCTCACCCCCCCAGAAAATAGAACCACCAAGCCCAAAACCTCCAGGTTTTCTAGTGTTTTCTTAAAAGGTTTCTTAGCTTAAGGGGAAGATTGCCACAGAGTATAAGTCATTGCGTAGCCTTATTTGTAGACTTCTGAAAGCTTCTTTACATGCTTCCTGAGATGCACAAACTCCTGTAATTCGTGGATGTTGTCTCTGCATTCAGCAGTTCAGAAAATACTTGTTCTTTCTACCAGCCTAGACTTTACTGCTGTTTTTTTCTTAGCAGACCTTTTCTAGCATTTGCTACAAGCGTCCAGCATTAATATAGCTTAGAACAACTTCCGCACAAATTCTTCAGGTGTATAGCTAGTATTGACTTGCACCTTCTTTTCAAAGCTGGCAAATGTTAGCCCTGGGGTTTACAGTTACCAGTGAATTTAGTTTTCTGTACATTCAGCTGCTGAAAAGTTATAAATCCAACATGAAGATGCGCATTCTAATCCCACTTTGATATGAGGACATCTGAAAGCAAAGTCTCCTACTGTTGAGGAGTGTTATTTTAAACCTCTGCTAAATACCTTAAAGCTTCTTAGGGAAGAACCTGGGCTGCCTGTCTCTTCCCTCGGCTAACTCGACCCTAATACACATTGGGACCAGCTGGTAGAACATGCTGCAGAACTTTTTACTTATCCTGGTAGGTTTTTCCTGTGCTTTGACAAGAGTTGATGCTCCTTCTTTCTTTAATATGTTTTTATTAAACATTCTTACAAAAAATTGTACTTGGTCACATTTTATATTAACAATGTTTTAATAAAGTCACTTTAAATAGAACATTCAAGGCTTTTGTGCTGCTTTGTGTATTGTCCTTTATACTCTGTTTTCCTCAGTGCCATTGGAGTGGTTTGGGGTATCTTGAATCTGCCTGAGAGCCAGCCAAGAATGATCTGGTCTAGAATTTAGAAACTGAATTTTTCAGATCAGAAAAAAAAAATCAGTACACTGCAGCTGTTTTTCAAGCTTTTAAGTGAGGCTATTTGGGGAAGTATCTTTGCTTTATCATTTTATCTGACAGCTGAGGACAGGATGAGATTTGGGACTTTTTATAAAGGCTAAAATCTATTTGTGCTTCACTGTAATAGACTTAAACCTAACACCCCCCACCCCCAATATCTTCAGGTAATCCAAAGCAGTATCTGGACCAATATTGCAGGAGCAATGTGAAAACTGTATGGCGTGGTTTAACCCCAGCAGGCAACTAACCACCACGTAGCCGCTCACTCGCTTCCCCCAAGCAGGATGGGGGAGAGAATCGAAAGGGTAGAAGTGAGAAGACTCATGGCTTGAGCTAAAGACAGTTTAATAGGTAGAGTGAAAGCCACATATGCAGGCAAAGCAAAATAAGGAATTAATTCACTGCTTCTCATCAGCAGGCTGACTGTGCTTAGTGCAAATGACCAGAACTGGCAATGACAAACTCTCAGGCAGTTCTCCTGTCAGTTGATGGTTACGTACGGGTTTTAAAAGCATGTCAGGAAAAGGAAGGTGCTAGCGGAGGCCGCTGGGTGGGCTCGCTTTCTGCCTTTTGTCTTACGCAGCGACTTCTTAAAGTGTAAGAGAATCAAACGTGCAGCTACAAGGAGTTTTTCTTCTGCATGCCTACATCCACTTCTTCCAGAAATGTATTTTGAAAAACAACTCAATTTGGTTTATACTTGAGCTGAATTTCTACCAACAACTAAAAACGCATTTGAAGAAGCCAATTAAGGGGTGGCATTCCAACTATATTTAGGATCTGGCCTACGCATAGTTTGCTTCAGTCTTGTTTAAGCTCCGTCTTAACTTTTGAAAGTCTTCTCTAATGAAGGCAAATCCACAGCATCTGGGCGCTGTCTCGGCATGTGGAGTCAGCAGGACTTTTAAAGGCAGAGTAGAACACACGCTGCCGCTGCCTGCCGAAGGATAGCGATCAATTTGTTTATTGGTGACTTCAGTCATAGCTGCTGGGGTTCAGACAGCACAGAGCTGTCTTAGAAGTCAGGGCTGTGGGTGCTGGAGCAGCACCCAGCAGATAGGGTCCTGCTGGTTTCTTAGCACCAGCATCCCCCAAAGAGGTCGCAAGTCACGTCCCTGAGATACAAACCCAACCTCGTAGGCATTATTCACAGACAGGCCCCCGGACTTTGCTGTCCAAGTTTGCCTGTGACCCACTTGAATCAGTGTGTTCTTGTTGCTGTGAGGACAAACGCGTAATTTGGCTGTCCTACATTTGTGAGTTAATGAATTAATGCCAGTGAAAGCTTTTACAGAGGAGGTACGCTAGGCACACCTGATTCTTCTCAACAGGACGCTTTCTACATTTCTATTGAAAATCTCTGTTATTGTCCCCTTTTCACAAGTGGGCTTTACACCTCAACACATGATATAACCAAGTAGGTCACAATGAGGATCTACACCTTCATCTGACCTCCCACCATCTGGGGAGCTTTGACAGCACCCTCTAGAGTCAATGAATGTGAGGTGAGAGATGATCACAAGATTTGTTTGCATCCCTCGTCCAGCAGTTCCCCAGTGGCACTGAGCTGCACCCAAAGGATGCTGCTCTGAGACCAAGTTTATTCCATCCTAATGGAGCAGAGAAGGAAATCTCATGACTAGCTTATCCCCCTCCTTCAACAGACCCTCTGTCCCCGAAGATCCTCTTCCCCGGGGCGTTGCTCCTTCCTGTTCTCCTCCCTGCTCTTGAAGGTGCAGATGCCAGGGCCAGGCCACAGCTCACTCTGCGCCTCACCAGCAGCCCGATTTGCTTGCCAGGACAAGTTCATGTGTTGAGCACAGTAAAGGTACCTTCTCTTAGGGCCACTGCTGGGGTGGACAACTGCCCGTTACCCCTGAGCCAGGCTTGGCTGAAGCCTGGAAGCCGTGTCTCTACTCGCCTTCAGCCCAACACATTACTTTTAAAGCTTACCATTTTCCTGTAAGCATCGCTGTGGATTTTACTCTGAATGTCTTCTGGGGCAAAAGATTCCATTAGGCAACCTCTAAATCACAGCATTTATCAGCTCTGCTGCCCGATGGCTGCGAAACTTGGACCTCATACACGGCCGAGATACAGGGCTAAATGCCCTTGGCAGGTCAGGATTTTACTGGGATGCCAACAAGTCAAAAAACATGTAGCTGCCCTGAAAATAGCTTACTGCCGTTTCCCTGTAATGCCTGTCTCCAAAACGAATGAGGGAATGAAAAAAAAAAAAAAAATGGATGGGGGGGGGAAAGGAAAGAGTCTTCTGTGTTTTTTGGATGGTTCAATGATTTCAGTGACCAACCAGAGATCTACACAAGGGCCTGACCTCAGCCTTAGCTTCCCTTCTTACCAAAAGTGGCAAGAATGCCAGCGACCATGAAGCTCAGCTGCCCATTTGTCTCCTGGGCTCGTTCTCTGAACTCCAATAGCCAGAGTGAAGGCAACCTTTGAAAATTTCCCACTTGCAGCTGGATACAAAGTATGTTACAAGGATTGTTTTTGTTGCTGTGAAATGCCAGCTGCTATGAAAAGATGCAGTGGTATGCAGCGTCGCAACGGAGACAGGAGAAGAAAGAAAGGTGACAGAAGAAGGAACAAAGCTCAGATGGGAGAAGAAAATTCACTGTGTGGGTCCTCTCCACTCTGACATTTCCCAGCTACGTGAGCTGAAGCACTGGCTCCGGTTAAGCTTGGTGGCAAAATTTATTTTGACTTGTAGGAAGCCCGGACTTCATTACAGCTGTTTGTTATTAAAGGGTTGACTGAACATCCTGCTCTCCTTGCCACATTTTTCAGAGCTTACATCTGCCAAGAAGGAAACTTCTGCTGTGTGCCTATAAGCTTATGTTTAAGAAACCCTGCTCTGGCCCGTGCGTCATACCGAACCCTTTGGCTGCAGCTCAGTTCCTCCAGAGCACAGAATACTGCAAATGCTTGTGGCCAGTAATTACAGCTTTTTTTCGCTTCTCCATCCTGGAGAAACTGAGCTGCTGCCGGTGATTCAGGGCACCTAG